TGCAACTTGTGTCTTAATAAAATTTATTTAACTTTGCTTTAAAAAAAACTATTCTAACACTTTACAATATGCTAAAGATTTTTTAGCATAATTACTGCCAGATTTATGTTTGAAAAATTTCTTGTGCGACGATGACAATTCTTTAACTATTCAATTATGTACATACATAACATAAAAGCATTAAATCATTCTATTATCTTGCTCAAAATGTCTCATTATATTGTACAAAAAGGTGTTTATAGAGTGCACTTCATCTGGTTGTAGACAGTACTTTCAGCAGCATGTATCCAAGGGATTATGTATCGTATCGTCGGTATTTATTCCGTGACAAGCACTGCCACGTGAATCTAATGCAAGAGGAAAAATGAATTTTAGTTGAAAGTTGAACCCAGACACAAAGCCGTGTGCGGAAAATTCGTTATATTCCGCGATAAAATTGTGGATACGTCTCTTATTAAACTTTTTCAGTTATTTAGCAGTGAATGAATAAGATTTTCCATTTACATTGTCACTTAAAATTAAACCTTTTATTCTGTAATATAAATTGTTTGAAATAAATTGAATGAAATTACAATTTTTGAAAATTGAAAGCTAAATATGGTTATTACTCTATAAAATTATTTATAATCTCATATATCTACATACATAAGAGTTTATTTTAGCCTACATTTAGAATGTTTCTTATTCTAGGGGTTATTAATTGATTTTAAATTAATTGTGAGGAATTTAATTTTTCTAAAGTAAATCAAAAATTAAAGAGACGTTAAATGATTTGTGATTGAACGAAAATAAAATTATTTTTGTGTCTGTACTCCTCCTTTATTTATGTATAAATTGTAAATATGTGTGAAATTTTACGACAGCTTAGACAAAATTACTGAGTACGAACCAAAAAAATGAATGAAGATGTACAAACAAACCAACAAAAAAACCATTTTCAATATTTTGTGTGATTTTTTGGTAAAGAATATTGGAATATCATATGTTTGATATCAATGAAAAAATTCATGTTACACAATACAATATTGTACTCGTACTTCTTATATATGAAGAATTCATATCGGGAGGTCGCGCTATCATCAAAACTCTAAATTCATTTTCAGTATCCTAAGGTGGCAGTATGGAGCTGTCTTAAGAAACTCATTGAATTAGGTAGACGCAACTTGGTCTTTCTGTGCTGGGTGCCAGGCTATGTGGACGTAGCAGGAAATTATGCCTTGACAAGAAAAGGGGTTACTAGGAGATTATGACCAGAAATGATTTAAGAAGATTTTAGAAATAGGAAAGAACTTGATAAAAACTCTAACCGTGGACTGCAGACTTAGGCACCGCAGTAGGCTGCGAATGGAAAGTGACTGGACACTTGCAGATTCTGTGAGGAAAATAAAAAAATTGCGCCTACTGGGAAAGTACTGGGGGCCTTAGCTCTCAGGGTGTGAAGTTGCGGTCGTCCGCTTCTCGTAAGTTCCTAGAGCTCATCAACGCGGTGAATTTCGAACGGGCGCTGCAGGGCATGCCCGGTACTCAGCGATAGGGGTATAATAGATCCCTGAATATGGTTACGATGTTCTGTTACTCCAGTTTTATAAATCTATAGGTACATACAGGGCCTTTCTCCAATTAAGTCGGCCTAGATTTACTATATCCTGAGGTTTTGAAATCAAAAATTAGTTTCGTTTTTGATTTCCATTTTTGATTTTACTTTTTACTTTACTAAAATGTCCAACAAAACATTTTTTATTTCTATTTGATTGTTTTTGGCAGTAAAACATAGGTAAAATTCAATATACGTGTTTTTTAATCCCAAAGTCATTTTCAAATTAAAATTCTTTTCAGGTAATAAATAACAAGGCGACAATTGCTTTTAAACGATTTTTACAGTATAACATTTTTGTTTTGCACGATTTTTGTTGTGAAGTATGCCAAGATCAAAAAATTTATTTGGTTGATTGATTCTCCAGGAACTTAATTTTGATTTAATATTGGCAAAAGTATAAAAAATTTTCTAAACACTAGCTGAACCAACGACAATTATAAAAGAAACTCTATATGTAAAGTTATCACTAATAAGGGAAAATTGATCTAATATTGAATTATAAAATTATAAATTTAATTAAATTTCCTCAAATCTTAATTATCTTACATATGGTTTTGTATCAAAAGCACGTTAAAGTACACGCAATTAATGTTGGTTTTTTGAAATTAGAATAAATAACAGTATTTTGAGCTGAAATTAATAAAAGAAAAGGAAACGTCAAATATTAAAATTTATTTGTTTTCTAAAATGAATTTAACATCACCATAAAAGTACCAATATACATACTTAACGTACATATAAAAACACAATTGCATAATTAAGCTTGTAATAAATACTTTTAAATCATTGAACTTTCTAATTTGTTCCACAACATCAAAATTATAGGTTATGTAAATAATGTTTTTTTTTTTTATTTTTTAATTTCCTTATTAGCACAAACAAAAGGGTTTTCTAATATTTTTATGTAAAATTATAAAGCAACCGTCGACACACTTTACAGTATCGTCTTCTCGCTACTGACTTCTCGCATTACAAGTTATCATTCAATCTGAGTTTTTGGCTATTAACCACCCGAATAATAAAACCTTAAGTCCATTATTTCTTTATAAGCGAAATTTTCTAATTAAAAGCGAATTTTTCCATAAGTGAATACTATAATGTATAGTGCATACATATGTACAAAATCACCACATTTTCTCAAAATTGAGGTTAAAGCATTTTTGTTAATACCGTTTCGATACCAAGAAATTAAACGAACGAGTCGTTGATTTTTTGGAAAAGTAATTTAAAAACTTTATACACCCTCTAATATCCTATAATAAATGTGATGACAGCCTTTTTAACATGCTTTCCCATAAAATTTTATATTTGTTACTTTTTATATGTGAGCATTATAGTGTCGCTGTATTCAAATGCTCGGTTTGGAATTATTTACATATTGTACTTTATTTAATTTTTAAAAAGTTCAATTACATTTTGCATGATGCGATAAACGACGTCATGTAATCGATAGTTATAATATTTCGAAATGAAAATGTAAGTACATTTTCCGTTCTTCCTCATTTGCGAATACGATATATATAACGAATGCATATACGCAATATAATAATTATATTAACAATTAATAATTAACAATTTCCCACAATTTAAAGTTTAAAATTTAAAATACATATAGTGTTAGCCACAGTTATATACGTATGTAGTAGAAGAAGAAAAATATTTATAAAAGACTTGATTAGAAAAAGTAAAAAACCGCAAAACTATTGAAAGAGTATCCGAAAAATAAAAGTTTAATTTCCAATAGTCAAAGACCTTTGCAATTTATACATAAATCCCATGTTAGACGCACTTCACAACATATCACTTGCTCATACTTTTTTATTTCACATAAATAACAAATGTAATATGTAAAATATAATTAATAAATGAACATTTACATAGACAATATACTTCACTTGAAATCATTTATGTATTCACTTGAAATCAACAATATGAAATAATGTTAAAAGGTTTAAGTGCATACGATTTGTCTCTCTGTTTTATTTTTGTATTTTCAAATGGAAAGTGTTTAATAAGACCCACTGTATTTAAATGACATGAAACTCTAGATCAATTAAGATTAATTTTTGTTAGAGTTTTAAAAAAGGGTTTGTTGAACTTATCATATATAATTAGAAATAATACTTTAATTAAAACCATTACTGTAGAATTTCGGTTAATCTCACCAAGTCGCTTTAAATACATATATGTATACATGTGTAATAGAAATTTTTGTTACAATGAAATTTACCATTGCTTGCAAAATTATAATTTAACTATTTCCGATATAGAGAAGAGTATGAAACATTTAAAGAAGAAGTTGAAAATAGTTTGTATTGTTGAAATGAAGTTTGTATTGTTTAAAACAGTTTTGAATTAAAATTTGTATTGTAAAATCTAACCTATAAATTTTGGATTTTTAGTATTTGACGTTATAAATATATACATACATAATTATTCGTCTGTATTACTCTTTTATATAAAATTTTAAATAGTTTAATATTTTAAATGGAATGGAATACAATAATAACTTGACATTTAAGATCATAAAACAAAGTAAAATATTTTTCAATATCTCAATGCATTTGGAATACGACAAATCATGGATTATTTATTAAGAATCATTATAAAATTTTAAAAAATCTTATTCAAAACTTATTTACATAAATCAACACAAATTTCGATTTCTCTTTCTAAATCGAATCGAATATGTTGAAGAGAAGATTGCCCAAAGATTTAATTTCTTGTATCTATAAAAGTTTTTATATGTAACTGGACAAAACTGCAATTTACATTTGTTTAAATTTTGTAATGTGAATTGTCATAAATAAACTTCGTATATGATTTATTTTTGGATCTTCTGACAATTAAACAGATTATTTTGATTACGAAATTAATTTTTCAAATTTAAAAATTATGAAAATGAATGTTCCCATAAAAATCATAATTCGTATGCTCATGGAGAAATAGAAAAATGTAAACCAATTTTAAATTAGATTGAAACATAGTTTAAAGAAACATGGAAAATGTTTGAAGTCTAATAAAATAGAATTTCTATATTTTTGATGCACATTTCTATTTTGACATCGCATGAAATTACCAAATAGTATTGCGGAAGAAAATTAATAAATTAGATTGAAATATAAGGTTTCAAAATATATACATAAATTGATTTTATACTGGACAGAAGCTCGTCAATAGCGTACGTACAAATTAATTTATATGATTTTACGGCTGGTAATTATCGCTTTAACAACTAAAATATCGTTTAACGTCCCCCTGAAATTTTAATACTCAAACAAACGCTTAATATAAAATTAGTATTTAATAATAAATAAATCAATATACATATATGAAATTTAATAACAAACTAGAATTACTTTTATGTTGTTAATAATTCTAATTAAAATATATATTTTTTCAGGGACAATTTCAGTATCATTTTTAAGGAATTCATTGGTTTGATAACACTTACAAAACCAAAAAATGTTGGACACAACAAAAGATTCATCACATACTTCGTTTTCACTGAATCACAATAACAACATATCGAAAAAACCAAAAGATTTATCACTATTTAACTGGTTTACTTCATTTACAAATAATTCTAAATCTTGCTCTAATAATATAGATAAATCTAATAATATAAACACAAGTCGTTTTAAAGGATCTGTACCAAATTTAGATACAAATTTTGATAACATTGAACAAATATCTATTCCACCCGCTTCTGATGATTTTAGAGGTGTTGAGGGTCTTACACAATACTGGAATCATCGAATAACTTTTACAAATAATTTACTACAAAAGCAAACAGCACGTGCACATTTTAAATCAGAAATTAATTCAGTATATAAACCAAATGGATTAAAACCATCTAAGAGTATTGGTTGTCTAATTACTACAACGAAAAATGAAGATGATTTAAAAAATTCAAATAGTTTTAGAATATCTTTTAATGATGACAACAAAACAAATGAAGAACATATAAAAAGTGATAATTTCTATAAATATAAAACGGCAGATACAAATAAGAGAAAATCATCTGAATCAAATATTCGTCTCCTAACTACTCGCGACTCGATATCACAAACAAATTCAAAAAACTTTAGTTCCGATATTGGAAATCGAAATTACATACTATCTTTTGGAATAGATTCTTTTCCTTTAGTAGCAGCAACAGAACGTGGTGAGAAAATACATTGGGCAAAAAGAGAAGATATTTTCATAAATCGTAAACAGAAACCTTCGTCACTTAATGATGAAAAAATAAATAAATTAAACAATAATTGTCTTCTATATAATGATAGAATTTTCGACAAGAAACTTTTAAATGATATAAAAGATATGACTACTGAAAATGATAAAATCATATCTGTTCGTGATCTTATCAATAAAAATAAAAGTCTATTTGATAAGAAAATTGTAATAGAAAATACAAAATACAAACCGACAAATCAAGCAAATAATAAAATGGAAATCAAAAATTCAAATCAAACAATTATAACAATAAATAATAATAACAGCGATTCGCATTTGAATGAAAATTTATCGTTGTCTAAAGAGCAGCAAGTTGTAGAATATACAAATCTAGAAACGAGTAATACTGTGGATTGCCCAAATACTAATATAGATAATGATAACAATAGAGATAAAGAAAAATCAAAAGATAAGACTGATAATTTAAAAAACAATGCGATAATGAAGTCTAATGAAAGCCAAAATGGCTCAATGAATTCACTTACTTCAAATAGTGTTGAATCACCTATTAGAAGAAAAAGCCAAACTTCGGCCACACGTAAATGCAGTTTTAAAACTCATTCGAAAAATTTTCATGTATCACGTAAAATGACAAACCATTTTACTGCTCACCACCACCATCATCATCCTAATAACAATAATAGCAAAGTTGCGACATTAACAGCTCAATTTAATCAACTAATACAAAGAGATAATACCCTTTTAGAAGAAATTAAAAAGAAAAATGGAGTGCTTTTAACTCGTGGCGGTCATATTTACAAATTAAAAGAAGATTCAAGCTCTCCAAATGTCAAGAAAAGAAATTCAACCAAAAGATTTTCACAAACAGATAGTAGTGATGAAACAAGTAGTATTAAATCTGGTAGAAGGAAAATCATAGCGAAACGACTTTCGAATGATAGCTCTGTTAAAGCGGCAGTGAAAAAATTTGAAACATCACGTTTAGGGTCGGAAAAGTCTAAACCATATGGGACTAACACTCCAAATAAGCAAAACAACAATTATAAAAGTGACAAACCAAAAGTACCTGCAAAAAGTGAAATTGTATTAAAAAAAACTAAAGAAATTAATATTAAACATTCATTGAAAAAGCAACGACCGAAAACAATTGATATCCAATCAAACAATACTTTGGAAGATATCAAGGAAGAATCCAAAACACCAGTTCAAGAAACAAACGAAAGCACTACGAGCTTGAATGATGAACTGAAATCAAGTGAAGTAGTAAACCAATCCTGTATACCAAATAATCCTACAAATAAAATGAGTTGTTCGCCAGTATTAGCATTGAATTCACTAAATACAGATAATCTTTCTAATGAATCAAACACCATGTTGGAATCATCCTCGGAGACTTTAGAAAATTTGCCAAAGAAAAGCCGCTATGCTCGTATATATGAGAAAATTCGTTTAAAAAACACCATATTTTCACATAAAAAAAGTCAAAATGTAAAACCCTCCCCAGAAAACGAAGAAAATCCTATTAAAAAACTCGAACCAGATAAAAAAATTCGTGAAGCTATAGAAACTATAAACAAGCGAATAGAAACGTTATCAAAAAGTACAAATGACATCAATATACAACATCAAAATCATGATAAGAATGAATCATTCGTGTACAATAATAAAACAAAAGTTATGTCCTTTGGTTCCAATACAGAATTAACTAATAAGATCGATGAAATAAATCAAAATAATATTATACAGGCTGTTAATACCAGTTTGATAAATAAAACTCAATCGATGGATGATTCAAAATTCCTCTCCACTCTAAATTATCAAATACTAATGGAAGATAACGAACAAAATCATTCCAAAAAGGATGATGAAGATGTTTATGAACCAATAAACGTAAAAGCAAAAATTGATTGTACACCAGCACCACAGAAATCATTCTTATTTACGCGATTCCATAGTCACAACGAATCTAGTAAAAGTAACGACACAACAGCGCAAACTGAAAATTTAGACTGTATTAACAATAATTCTGAAAGATCTAGATCAGTATCTGATTGCACCTTTGATTCAAAATTATATCAGAAATCATTTCTCTATTCCAAAGACTTTAATAAAACAAAAACATCATCATTTTCTTCATCACTTTCTAAGACACAAGATCATGAGGATTGCCTTAATATATATCAAACGATTCCTGAAATTATTAAGCCATTATCGGAGAACTACACAGAAAAGACTGAAATAGTAGATGATGAAAACTATCAGTTAGTTAATGAGTTACCAAATCCTAAATCTAGTCCAAATCAAACAGAGGATGGATATGAAATATGTGAGCCTCCGGCATCTGATTTAATTGATATTAATAAATTTGAATTAGAAAAACTGAAACAACAAAAATTACCAACATTGAATTCTCCTCGTATTTCCGAAACTCAAAGAAACACAACGGATGAGTTACCTGCAATTCCAGAACCAAAAAGAAAAGCAAAACCATTTTTACTTAATACTAATAATAATAATAATACAATTTGCACTGATGTACCACCACGGCCACCAAATAAATCACCATTATTAAATAATAGTACAAAAAAAATTAGTGAAAATCCATTAATACTGCCATTGAATGATATCGATTGTCAATTAATAATGAAAAATATCTCCAATTATGATAATTATCATTATGAGGATGAAGACGAAAACATATATGATACAATTAAAGGTTCTGAATCATTAATGCATTGCTATGAAATGCTAAATAATAATGGTAAACATTCACCAAAATCAGTTGACGACACAACATCCATTGTATCGAATTGTTATGAATCAATTGCTTCAATACGCGGTCGTGTTGCAATACCATTAACAAACTCTGATTCAATATCGACGATTTCATCAGATCACAAAACCAATAGTTTATATGGAGTATCAATGAATAGCCAGAATTTTATACCTTTAAATGAAGGGTCTAGTGATAATAATGATGATTGGATTGATATTTCTGACGGAGATGATGACTTCTCAATCAATAATAATAGACCACATTTTATAATGTAAGTGCTTCCCCATTTTATTCATACTTTTAATATTAATGATAATTAAGTAATATTTTTATTTTAGTGTAAGAGAAAAATCGACAAAGGCAAACAAAGGTACAGAATGGAGCACATTAGTACATAATCATAGGATTCAAAGGGAATTAAATGAAGATGAAGACTGTAAGTACAGTGTATTTGCTATATAACTAAATTACCGTAGTTTAAATTCAAAGGCAATTCAAAAATTTATAATAGTAATTAAAATTATTATAACATTTATGCAACGTGATATACATGAATTTATTGTATTCAGTATTTACGAAAACATGTGCAAATTGCTACGCATTAAAAATCATTTAAAACGAGTATATGAACTTTAGTTATAACTAAACTATAGAAATATCAATATTTTGTAATTATTTCGCCAACTTTTTTTAATTTCATTTCACTTGGCCAGTTTATACCTAAAAAAGAAAATCAAATATATAAAACCACGACTTATTTTTAAATTAAACAATTGAATTTATTTATTGAATTTCCAGTCGTGGTGATTTTAAAAATGTAAACGTTTTGAATTTTAATAATATTTGTGACGAGTACACATTAGAAATCGAATGCAAACAAATGAAAAAAAAACTCGATATGGCATTGTGAATTCCTCCATAAAAGAAAGTTATAAAATATTTTTATAAAATAAATAAAAATTAATAAAAACCTTATCCATTCTTTTTAAACCCGTTCGAATTTACAGCACACGCATAATTTTTTAAATACATACTGTTAAAATAGTAACATTAAGTATTTCGATTGCTTAATTGAATATTTTCTAATATTTTCTTAAAAATAAATGAATTAGAAAAAAATTAAAGGAAAACTTGAATTATTGCGTTAATTGAATTTTACTTTTTGATGCTTCCAATAATTGATTTGAAATATAAAACAAGTTTTAATTAATAAATTATTTAGTTCGAAGCCAAAATGTTTTCATTGTAAATAACTTAAAAATTCACGTTTTTGGAAATTTTTGAAAATTTCTCAGAGGCAACCAAGTTTTCCAACTTATAATTATAACTTCCAACTTAATAATTCATAATCATATGCAGTTACAAAATTTCAATTACATGATTAAATTTATTAAATTTAAATTTCTACCCTTGATTATAATGTGCACATTTCCGTAATTTTATTTTAATTATTACTTAATTATTAATTCATTTTTCTTTTGTTAATTATAAATTATTGGAATTTCTTTAGAATGTATTTGAAATTTTTTATTAAATAATAATTTATACGTAAACTGGTATTACCATCATGCAAACAAGATTTCCTTATATGCATACCTCGCAATAGTTCAATAACAAATTTACATATTTATAAAAGTATAAATATAAGATGGAAATGTTATGGTATGGTTAGTTTGGCCATACAAAGGTGATTAACAATAAAACACTCTTTCTATAATATAATTAAAATTTTCTTTCATTGTATTTAAATTTGTAATGCACATAATCCAATTAAACCAAAAAAGATGAATATGGAAAATACAAAAATTTTCGTGAGTTTGATTTCCAGATTTTGAAATCAATTACACAATCGCTGTAATTCAGTTTTAACAAATGGAGCTTTTTACGTGAAATTTGTAATTTAAAATTTATTTTAAGGTGTTATAATGAGAATACACTCTAATGAGACTATATTGACTTTAGAACTAATGCTCGAGTATGAAGTAGCTCTATATTTAAAATAACTCGTGATTAAATGAATTAATGCAGCCTTTATGCTTTTTTAAATATAATTAAATTCTTACCAATCCAGTCAAACAATTTCCACTGGATTTCATGAGAATGTTGACTATATTTACTAAAATCCTTCATTTTAACATATTTGAGTTTCAAAACTCTATTATTTTAAACTCTATCATAATAACACACATAATCCTTAATACTTTTTTTTATAGATAACAAACTTGTCAATTAAAAAGTAAAAACCAGGTAAATCAATTTTAAAATACGGGACTACAATTTTGATTACTTGCACTGCAGTCTCGGTCCCTATTAAATGAAATAGATTAATTTTAAAGAATTAAAAATTTAAAATAGTGGTATGTGTGTACCTATGTACGAGTAGCTAATACAAATTTTTAAAATCATAATAGATTCTTTGTATATTTGACAAAATTAGAATTGTATTGCAAAAAATGTCCCCAAAATTATTGAATATTTTGTAAAGTATATAGTAGGCTAGGTATTTATTACAATAGGCAATATTTAAAAATAATAAGCAAAACACTAAAAGTTATAAAGTTTTCAAGATCCTAAAAACAAAAAATTCGTTTTGCGTACATTGCAGAAATATTGCATACTTTTGGGGAGCAATCATATATATATATGCAATCTCAAACATGTAATGTAAAAAATTGCATATTTCTGTTTTAGTATTTTTAAAAGCTATTTTTCAGAAATAAAAAAAAAATTTCGCGTTTTATTTAAAAGCTTTAATATCGTACCCATTTTTTAACTGTAAATATTACTGTCTGACATCCTTACCAAAACACGTATTTCACTTAAGCTTAACTTATTCAGCAATACAATTATAATTGCTGAGTTAAATATATTTAAAATTAGCTTGCATTTACTTAAATTCTTTCCAATTTAAGTATTTTTGTTTAAAATCTTACATTTTATTTTATTAATTTATTTACGCATAATTCTTAAATTTTGTATTAATACAATTGTATTTTTTAAAACTTTTTTGCTCACATTTATAATAAAGAAATTATTTCTTTTTCCTTTAAAAATAAAGAAGATCATTAAGAATAAAATCAACCTCTCGGCAAAATGATCGCATATACTATAAATATAATATATAGCATATCTACATCTTTACACACGAACATAACTAAAGAATTCACCCATAACTAAAATTTACAATAATTCACTATAGTTCACTATTCACATACTAGTACAACAACGCTAATTAACAATTACAAAGATCTTGTTTTTATAAAAAATTAAGACTTTTCTTTACTCTCCTCTCTTTCAATTTTAAATTTTTCTGTTTTTAATTTCATTATTGCTCATTTCTCAGTGTTCTCATAACTTTTACATTTTATTTTAATTTTTATATAATGTCGGACAAATTATAATACAACTTTCAAAAGCTCAAATAATAAAAATATATTCGATTAGGTTTTACTCAGTCTTAATTCGCTCTCGGTTGAAATTGTTTGGTTATATGCCATCGGTGCGTGGTGGACTACTATTTCTTGTTTACTAATTTTAATAAAATAATTTTAAAAATTCTCTGTGTGTATAGCTAGTTTTTAATTTTATACATTCGTATAATATATTATGTGTATATATTACATTATTAATACGTCATATTGGAAAAATTTTATGTTAATAAAGTTTAATATTCAGTGAAATGAAATAAGAATAAGAAAAATATTAATATAGTGATTTTTAATAAAAAATTTAATCTTGATACTTATTTAATAATTAATAATAATTAATTTATAATTATACTTTTTCATTCAATTTAATTTTAAATACAGAAACATAATCCTGATATGTTAATTGAGCGCGAGGTATAGTGTGAACGAAAAAAAAATTGAAGAGTTTAAAAAAAATAAAAAATCCTTGATTTTAATAAGCATAACTAGCTATAAACATAAAAAATATATAATTATATATTTGTGTGCATATGTGTATTTAGTAAATTATGAGTTTATTACTTATGCGCTTGATCCTTAAAAATTGTTTTAAGCTTAACTTCTAGTTAGTGTAGTTTAGGTATAAAATTAATTTCAATTAAAAAATATTTAAAGAATTAAGCATGAACCTTTGGATAAGAATTTTAAAAATATAAATTTTATAAAGCTATGAATGGAAAATTGGATAATTTGACAATGTGGACCAGTAGTCAACTACACTTTATCTTTAGAATTAAATTAATAAATTTCAAATGACTCTGATGATGTTTTAGAAACTTTCAATTTTAGTTTTTATAACATTTTTACTCAAGCTTAATATTTATATGCAATTGGATCAACATTCAACTTATTTGAAACTGTTACACTTAATCTGTTTTACAATTAATAAAAAAATAATTAATTAACATTATTATTTTAATAAAAATTTGTTATTAATAATATTAATTAATTTAAATTAAATAGATTTATAAAAAAAATACAACTATACATAATTTTAAATTAAAAATTTAATTATATATTTTTTTAGTGTCTAGTTAATACAGGTTTTTGAATTGAAAAACTCACAATCGCATACTCATACATACTTGCATTAATAAGTAATTCACAAATCGCATAAATATTACAGCTATATATTAAATATGAAGACATGTATATGTTTTTAACCGGTATAATAGAACACAATCAACTATCCTCATAACCACCACCATTATGTACTGCTATTATTTAAGAGAAAAAAAGCAGAACAAAATTTTAATATGTCGCTTCGTTGATTTTTCATAATTTAGTTGATTCAACTAAAATTTACAAAAGAAAAAAAGCTATTTCATTTTGAAAATAATGATCGTATATTGTAAATATGTATGTATCTGACTGACATATGTGTTTGATATATATATATATATATATATGTACATACATATATTATAGTTTACAATCAACATAGATGGCTTTGTTTGCTAAATCAAACATGTTGACTTTCTTTCTTCACAATACTTTATATACCAATTTTAAATTAATAATACCTTGTCGTTTTGTTAAATTTTGTCGATGACTTAAAAAAAAACTAAATTTAAACTCTGTAGCTATGTCTATTTCCAAATCGACACCTAACTATTATATAACTTTATAACATCGCAATTTGAGCGTTCGTAATGCTCGTTTTAGAAAAAAAAATTTTTAGCTCTTTTTTGTATTTTTTCAAAAATTTTGGAAAAACAACTATCATGTTAACAAAATATAACCAGTTAAGTGTTCAAATAAATGTACACTTCGACGTTTATATTTAGGTATACACACAATTCCACATATATAACAATATTGTTAGTGTGCACATATTAATTAAATTGATGATTTAGCTATTCAAAACGCAAGAATTGTGATGTTAAGTAAGAAAACTATAATTTGAAAAATAAATAAAATGAATTTGTGAAATGAAAAAGAGAATAGCATGGTCATAAAACCAAAGAAT